AATCCGTCCAAAATCTAACCTCTGCAAACTTAACATCTAACTCCAACTGCAGCTGGGACCCCATGCGTGCTGCTAACACTGCAGCCGTAAGTTCCAAACGCGGTATAATTTGAACTTTCAAAGGGGTTACTCTTGCCTTAGCCATAATAAGACGAGAACATACTTCAGTGTCATGGGTGTGAGAGCGGACGTATGCCACTGCACCATATCCAGTTTCCGAGGCATCGCTGAAAATGTGAAGTTCCAGGAGCGAGCGATCTGACTGCATAGGCAATACGCAACGTGGAAAACTAACGTCCTCAACCCCCTGAAATTCACTTAAAATCCGTAACCAATGTCTGCTTTCCTCATATGGAATCTCTTCGTCCCATGCTAGTCCCAGTTTACCTAAACGTTGGAGTAACTGCTTCATTGGAAGTATAAACGGTGCTAACAATCCCAAGGGATCGTAAAGTGAGGCTACACTCGACAATATACCTCGCCTAGTGAGGGGACGTTTCGGTATGCGAACTTTAAATTCAAACGAATCAACCATAGTATTCCAGAATAATCCCAATGTGCGTTCCGTAGGAAGCCTTTCAAAGTCAATCTCTCTTACGGCTTCTGCTCTTTCCTCTGGATGAATTGATTCGAGAACTTGTAAACAGTTACTTATCCACTTCGTAAGTCTAAACCCACCTTTTCTGAGGAGTAAAGCAAGGGTTTTTGCTAGCTTAATTGCATCCTGCACGTTGTCAATGGAGGCTAAATAGTCGTCGACATAGAAACTCTTATCTACGACGTCCTGGATATCTTCATTAAATTCCTTACCGAATATATCTACCGTCTTCTTAAGAGCGAAATTAGCGCAAAAGGGGGACGACACGGCTCCAAACGGATGAACTGTTAAACAATATTCCTTAGGCTTTCGTCTTATATCACCGTCTTCCCACCACGATAGACGAAACGCTACCCTGTCTTGTCTCGGGATCTTTACTTGAAGAAACATCTCTTCAATATCAGCAGCTAATGCTACATTACCTAATCTAAATCGTAGAAGTACACCGATCAAACTATTTACAGTATTTGGTCCTCTGAAAAGCTGGTCATTAAGAGAACAACCTTGATAGACAGCCGCACAATCAAAAACAATTCTCAATTTTCCAGGCTTTTTAGGGTTGATAACAGGATGATGAGGAATATACCAACAAACAGCATCATGGTCAAATTCTTCTTTACTAGCTTCAGTGATGTAGCCCTTACTTAAATGTTTATTCATCACAACTTGATATTTCTCCAAAAGACTGTTATCTTTCATAAACCTCCTTCTTAAGCATTCTAGTCTGCGTTCAGCTAGTTCCAAATTATTCGGTAGCCTTGGCTTATCATACTTCCATGGTAGACCAACTTGGAAATGACCACCCTCCAATTTAAACGAATTGCTAACTATTTCTAGAGCCTTTTTATCCTCGACAGAATATCCATTACGAAACGTATCTGTATCTTCGAACTCATGATTATATAATCTTTCTAAATCTCGCAAAATATCATTAGCGGAACAATGACACCATTGAACTTGATGTAGAGACCTTGATACTCCCTTAGGACCTATAATCATCCAACCGAGATGAGTACGCACAGCAAACGGATGCTTCCTGTCCCCCAGACGTTGTTCCAAGACCCAATGTGCATCCGGAGCATCACACCCAATCAATATTCCTACAAAATTACTTCGCAACCTCGGGAGGGTTATGTCCCTTAGGTGTTTCCATCGCTTCAGTTGGAGTTCGTTTAAAGGTGCTGCATGATCGATCGGAAGTTTCTTGGTCGTGTAAACTTTGTTGATCTTTATAGAACCCCGTTCATCTAATGAAAATACCTCTAAATTTACCTCCAAACATTCACAATTGGTATTCCCGTTCACAGTCGCCACCTTTATCGAAGTCTCTTTGCCTTTAATACCCAACTGATTAATTAATTCTTCACATACAAGAGAAGTGTCCGAACCACTATCTAGAAGTGCATATGGGACCGTACAGTCTGACTGGAACAATACCCAAACAAACCCTTGAGGAGTTCCAATCCTTAGCTAAATTCACCATATGGCCATCAATACTATCAATATGCAATATCGAATTATGCCTAACCTTGCAATTCTCAACGTGGCACTTGAAGCCTGAGTTGCATGACATAGCTATGTGACCTTTCCTCAAACATAAGTAACATAGACCACGTTTTCTTACCTCCTGCCTCCTTTCTTTTACATTCATTTTTGATAACCTTGGACAATCTGTCGCCTCATGATCACCTACGCAGATTTCACAATGTAGTACCTTGACTGAGTTATTTGGGTCTCGTCTAATTGCATGAAAGCGTGATCTCCTATCCACTTGGCCTTCAGAATTCCTTTTACCGAACCTTGAGTTACACTGTACTAATCTACCATAACGGGTTCGGGCAATTCTGGCCCTCTCTTCTACGAAGACCACAAATTCTTCAAAGCTCGGCTCCTTCCCATGCATCATAATCTTATCGGCGACTTCCACCCACTTATTCTGCAATTCTAGTGGTAGGCATGAAACTATTATCTCCAAATTAGCCGTAGAATTGACGTCAGACATGTATCCCATTTCCTTCAACGTTATACATACATTACGTAATTTAATCGCAAAGTCATTTAATACGTCAGCTGATCCTCCGACAGATTTATGGTTTAATAATTCAGTGATTAGTTCTCGTGCAACAAGATGCTCTTTACCAAATAAATCATATAAAATTCGTTTAGCCCTATCATAGCCTAAATGACTGGGCAAAGAAACGCAAGATTCGATTGCTGTTCTAGCCTTTCCTTTGCAATAATATAATAAATACGACAGCAATTGGCTCTTATCTGACAGTTTACTCTGTATAAGGCTATTAAACTGACTGATGAAACGGTAATACTGACCCGGTTGCCCATCAAAATACATCATATCGATCTTAGGTAAAACCATGTTACTAACCATTGTATGTAACGTGTCCTTCAGTTCGCCAACCCAATCGACCTTTGAGATGTTACATACGTTCCCTGAGTGACTATTACACCCAGTATCACAATCCAAATAATTTTCCACTTTAGCATTTATCTCACATTTATCTACAGGTAACCGTTCTTCGTCCTCGACGGCCTTGCATTCTAGTTCAGCGATATCAACCTCTTCTTGAAGATCTAACATCTTAAGTTGCCGTTCCAATTCAAGTCTCTTTTCTAAATTCCTTTTCCTCAGTAATGCCTTATCTAACCTTAACCTAGAAGCACTTAGTTGGCTAGAGGACATACTATTAATACTAACATCATCACATTTACCATCATTAACATCAGACATACCACAAACAGCTTTAGAAATTTTACTATCCATTTCGTCATTTTCCTTCAGCCTTTTGCTCCGCGTTTCCATCGTATTGATTGTTCCAAAGCAATCGATTACCAAAACAATTCTGAGTTAATCCACACGAAACCGATCAATAAGATCAGGAAATTGAATCCAAATATCCAGAAAATCCAAGGTATAAACACAGAACCAATAATTGAAGAACTTTATGTTACGTCCAAGTTTTGCTCGTTCTAGTTATTGAAGTACGGACTATCGATCTACTTGCAAATTACGAACCCAAATTAATAACAGAACCAAACTCCAATTTGGATACCAAATTTATTCGTAATTCACAAATAATCGACCAAATGTCGTTCTAACAACAATAATTATAATAATTACAAAACAAACCTTCAATTTTGTAGGTTCCCGGAGCAAAACTCCCAAATACCAAACCAAAGATAGAGAGAGCACCAAAATACCAAACCAAGGACAAACCAAAATGTCCGAAATAATGATATAAACAAACAAGTTCAAAGTTAAGTAAAACAATTACATCCAAAAACACAGTAAATTAATAATGTACAATAAAAAGGTTTTAATCTGCCAAATGTCTTCAGTTCTCCCGTAACACTGTGAGCCAACAAATGTTGTAATTTGTACATCATGCCTGTGAAAATGGCGTGTATCTGCTCGTGCAGAAATATTTTATTATTATTATATTACGAGTGAGACGACTTCTAGGTAGATATAGTAAAAATCTACGTATAACCCGTTCAACGATACGTCGGGGCAACGTAGTCTGGTCATAAGCTTAATACCATCAACAAACCTGCTAATTTGAAATAATATAACGAAATAGAAGTAATCTCAAGAAGTCTAAAACTTCAACAAGACACAATCAGGAAATCATAGTATGAAGTTTTACTGAATTATAATGATAGACTTGAACACAACATAAAATATATTACTGTACAGTAAGTGTATTGGTCACTTACCAATTAACCTAACCACTGACAATAATTAATGACCAGGTCAAGCAACATAAGTGCCACAAAGAATGGTCATGTAAGAGTCTAAAAGATGAAGAATAAGTTAACAGAATTTCTATTCCGACTCATAAAACTGCCACATTGCATTCTTATTTTGCCAAATTAAATAACAAGCTTCAACGAAGCGTCAACATGGAGACGTTAATTCAAGATAGCTCGAACAACAATATATGTGCAAATGGTTCCACTATACCATGAACTGAAATATTCAGCACGTAATATAGACGCCAATCTCCAGTTACTTTGAGGTAATCATAGAAAATTGAGGGTTTCCAAAACCAAAGCTGATGACAGTCAAAGTAATAAAACATCTAGGGAAAGTGTTTACAAACCTAACTGTAAGTAAAAGTGTCAAATATGGGTTTGGATATAAACAATAATAGATTCGGTAAATATTGAGAAGCTCCACAGTGGAAGTTAGAACAATACACATGAGCAGATAATATTTTTTTGAAAACATGTGAAAACAGGATGGTCTGTCTTCTCAAAATGTAAACAAATCCACCTTTTCTTTAATGTTCCTCTATAAATCCTGGCGAATATTATAATAAGATAACTAACTTCTTCATGTAGACATATCTTGATGATTTGTTTAAATAAGTACTTTAGTGTTTCTGCCAATGTTATATCCAAGGCCAGCTACAATGACCATGATGCTTTGCGCATTTTCACATTTACTGCATGCTTTTTGTGACAGTTAATGGCCACTCTTAAAGCACCAAACAAAAAATAATAATTACCTTTTCATAATGGGAATTTGTTTGTGTCTTCAAAGGAGTACGAAACAAAGTCAGAACGATGGGGGTTCGCATTATTACCTAGGTTCGAATCCAACAACCGCAAACAATGCGGCAAAGTACCTTTGTCACCAAACGCTTGAAGTTACGAATAATGGAACTACTGCCGATATTGCTCCAACGAACGTCAATCAAGTGACACTGTACAACCTCGGTCCTAAAAATTCTCTTGCCGTCTCGAGGAATGTTGTGACTGATATGCATATGACTTGTGTAGCTGCTCAAAATAATGCAATTACATCAGCAATATCTACCGTGTCTCCTGGGGGAATCGGGGTCCAGGCAAGACCTTTGGTACAGGTCCGCGCTCTTTATTCGTATCAAGGCCACAACCAAGATGACCTGTCGTTCCAGAAAGGAGATATAATGTTTGTTATATCTGGTATGTCTGATGCATGGTGGTTTGCAAGACATTCCGACACTGGAATGAGTGGATACATACCCAGTAACTACGTCTGTCTGAATGATGGACTTCCAACTAGCTTGGATGCCTGGTATGACATAGGTCGACGTGAAGCTGATCGAAAACTTTTGCTTGTGGGGAACCCCAAAGGAACATACCTTATTAGACCTAGTTCAGGTGAGTTATCCGAAAATTTGAACTTTGTATAACAGCAGTCCTCGTATCACTTCAAACGAGACACATCCTGAATTAGTTGTCATATTTTAGAAATGTTAGATCTATGTGGTTTTTATATAAGACATAATATTAGAAATGAGTATATAACACTTGCAACTTCTCGAAAGTCATTGTTTGGACCAAAATTATGGTTCGCTAACTAGATATCTACGTTTATCACTAGTCGATTCGCGATGAATTTCCTTTTTGTCGTTTTAATATACGTGCCGTGTAATTATATATATAATTCGTTAGCAAATGGACATCCAGTCGGTCCTATAAATAACGTAATTTTCCAAAAGTAATGCAAGACTAGAATCGATGCGAAGATTTCGTTGGACCGAAATTCTGAGACAAGTAAAGTGGTTGTTCGTTTAATTTGCTTCATTCCCACATTATTAGAGGGATTAGATAATGACTGATCCTAGGACAAGATCGTGGTTTCGGGGAAACTCATCTCAGATACTTTTACAATTACTTAAGGCGATCAGGCGACTTGGTGAAACTCTATTTTATGGACGACCTTTGAACGTATTTTTAAGTGAACTTGAGTACATTAGCCAATCAGAAGAGAGTTAGTGTAAAATAAAAATATATTATAAAAAACTGATGAATTACAATGGATATTCTTCTTTTACATGATTTAATAACTTGTTGAGGTTTGATAAAGGTTCAGAAGTTTTGAAATCATAGTGCACGCGGTATAAGAACTCGTCCATACGGCTCCATAATAATCGTCCTCTGGAGCCGTGGTAGGGTCTTAAAAAAATACTTCAGCCTAGACCACATGCCTTCAATACTTTTTGTATGGACCCCCGTCGTTGGATCAACAAAATGACGTTTGTGCTCCACAACATGATGCACAAAACCAAATCTCGAAAGGAATCTATACGCTTTCCAATCATCGGTATAGATCGTCGTGCCAGGCTGAACGTACTCCTTGATGATTGGTATGATTGTCGTTACCTGACGGTTTCTTACTCTTTGAAAATGTCCTTTTTGAGTTGAACGATCGTAAAACCCAAGTACCTGTCAAGTATATTCACGGAAGTGCTACTTACCCAATCTTCCTTGATAAAGCGTCCTTTATTGTATTTTCGCTTTCTAACTACCACCTCATCTATTTCCACTATCTTTCCAACTCCTCCAAATGATTCATGTACTCGTGTCATTTTCATTGCGCATATATCACGACAATATTCATACCATTGAACGGCGGAAGTTTCCGTGACATCTGCAAAAGCCGCAGCTAATGTTATTGGAGACTTTATGATCCAATTCGCAACGATTATCATGATTTGTCTTAGCCTTAGACGTGACCGGGCAAAAAAAGTGCCAGTTCGAGCAGATTTTTTTCTCCAACATATATTACAACGAAATACAATGTCATCACGGTAGTCTGCACATCGTGCTGCGGTCATTCGATTGCCGCAGTCACAGACACAGGAACTTCTTAATAATCCCATCTGCTGTAGTCTCTCAACAATCACCTCTTCTCTAAAATCTGCTGTAAATCGATCGAATGTGAGCATCTTGCATTGAACTTAGCGCCGTGACCTTGAAACTCCTTTAACGCTTCTGATTGGCTCGTCCATAAATTAGAGTCCTACCGGCGACTTCATTTTGTTAGTATTTCCACTAAACGGGACAATATCTTGTGGATATTTTAAGCTGAGAAATAAAACTGATAGTTGATCAATTATAAAAGCAACAAACAATTAATCTTATATGGCAAGTAACGAATTACTTTTTTGAAACTGCGTTGGGATATTTCTATGATACACAAATCAAGTGACTTGTGTGGCGCATATGTATTCGTGCCCATGCATAGTGTGTACAAGCGACTATTTTGCCAATAGATTTAAAACAACCAAACCAAGATATCACACTTGAATCGAGACGTTAACTGTTTCGCGTCATCTCTTAATTAGGAGAGACTATGGTTTGAGACCCACGAGTTAATTGTAGCCAATAGTCGCATATCTTAGATGATATGATTCAACGGCCTCTGAAACACTGATTTATTGATTCCAACTTTTTCGAAATATCCAGCTTTGTATTGTTCCATTCTTTTCTTACCAAGTCGGAAATATTTTCTTTTAAAATGTATTTAAACCTAAATTCATTTGGTATTGTTTACTTGGATCTTCCCACTGATTTTCAGGACTGCAATTGATCAGTCACTTATTGGCATATATGCATACTGTGCGTATAGCCTTAATTCACAAGCATTCTAAGCAAAAATGGATAATGGCTAGCAATGAGACTCAGGATGCGCGATTCGTCCTGTTTGGGACTTGTCAGCTAGATAACGCGATGGCGTTTGAAGTGAACGGTACTGGGTTCGAGTCCAAGAGTGAACATCAACTCTTAGATGCAGGTACATCCAGCTGACGAGTCCCGAGTGGGAGGAAACACACGTCCTGGAATAAGCTGCTAGTCATGATCCATCTGATTAGTATTTAAACCTGGTTTATTCTTTATTGACGATGTTGTATAAACCTCTCATTTCGTCTTGTTAATTGGCTGATATAAAATTTCGTGACTTGTAACAATTAAAAATTTAACCTTGTCTTTATTCATGCTTGAGTCCGATTACTACCATCTACCTGGTATCATACATCTAATGTCAGAATCGATCCTAGTGACCCTAACATACCCGAACAATGCTTCAGACACCTATAATCAATTGCTTGTAACTTATGCATGCCTTGTACTCTCAAAGATCATATAAACTAAGTTCCTGGGCTTTTTGATGGGACTGACATCCCCGCTGCGACTAAAGGCGTATGTATAAGGAAACTCTCAAGATATATAAAGCAGTCAACGTGCTTAGCAATGCTTCCTATAGTCAGCTTAGGTATTAGCACAGATCAATTACAAAGCAGCGTTTTACATTTGAAAGACGTAAAATATCCCAAGCACTTCTGCTGTTATTCAAATAGTTTAATTTAGTCCGCATCTTCGTGAAAGCGAACTACACCATCTGGTTATGTGCTTTCGATCCAGTTCACTTCCTTTAGGTCTGCTGATGTGAAGCGTGACAACTTGTGACATTCCATACTCGTCCCATGTCCTACGTTGTTAGTCACCGCTGTCTGTGCTGGCAAGAGATTCTTCAGGCTAAATACCATATCTGTAACCTAATTGAATAAAAAAGACATTGTAGACTGATTACTTCACCTCCCCAAATCAACTCCAACGATAGCTAACAATAGTTGAGGTTTTACACATGAAACCAGTTGACTTAAAGGTTTACCGAATTCGAAAGCTATTTATTTCGAGTTTCATCTTTTAGGATTTTGTCTTGGTCTCCGTTTGATCACTCAAACGCCCTTCTCGAAATGCTCTCATATCATCACGCGTATATAGCCACTGACAAGGGAGTCCTACTTACTGCCTTCTCGCAGCGGGTGTGTTGTTTATGAAATTGAGAGGACGAAAATGAACGTCTGGCGCTTTAACCGGGTTAGTGGATATGGAGGATTCACTTACGGGAGTTGGAAAACCCCAATTCCAAGCCGATGGTGCACATGGGCTCCAGGATCTCAAGGGAACAAATGGAGTATGAACCTATTGTTAGTCACTGTCTACCGTGGGAGTGTATCTACTAACGTTGCTCCGCTGCTTTGTGGACTAGGCCTCCAGGTCAAAAATTCGGGGAGTGGCCTACTAGGAAAGCCACCTGTTTCGGTTTGGGCGCCCCAACAGTATTCCGGCCCCCACACAAATCGAATGACGAAGTGTGGTGCATCCATATTTGTTGCTTTATTGTTACTTACCTACTTACTTACGCCTGTTACTCCTAATGGAACATGGGCCGTCGATCAGCATTTTCCAACCCACTTTGTCCTGGGCCTTCTTTTCTAATTCCATCCAATTCTTGTTCATTTTTCTCATGTCTATCTCCATTTCTCGGCATAAAGCGTTCTTTGGTCTTCCTCTTTTCCTTTGGCCTTGAGGCAGCCCTGATGTCAAGAAACACTACGATTGTTGGCCTTTGATAAGTATGGCGGTGTTCTAACATTTAGCGGAGGGTGAAGATATGATCAATACATCCTCGACCAGAACGAAACCCAGCCTGCTCCTCGCGAGTCAATTTTTCTCGGGTTTTGAACAACCTACGAAGTATGACGGAAGCCAATAGCTTGGACGCAATCGGAAGTAGACTTATCCCCCGATAGTTGTTACAGGAACTCAAACTCACGGTCACCCAGAGTAGACCGACGGGCTTCAATGAGTTGTAAGGAACCAGAAGAAACCCAGTGCTTAAAAGCGGGACGTTTCGCAAACCCACAACTGACTGTTCCCGCCATTTTCATGGCGTCATGCAATTGCAACCAATGCTCATCTATACTTTTCGGTGGAGTGGTAGCTAGCCTAGAGGCTAGCTCGGTTCGATACTTATTTGCAACAGAAGTTGCAACCAGCTTGCTAATATCAATCCGTTGATGGCGGTCACTTCGTTGTCCACTGAAAAGTAAGGCAAGATTGGCGCAAACCAAGGCATGGTCAGAGTCCAGATAGGTACTCCAAAAGGAGCGGCAGTCTTTTACACAACCACGCCAGCGGTAGCTGATCGCGATGTGATCAATCTGAGTCCAGGCTTGAGATGCAGAGGGAGGACGCCAAGTGGCACATCGGCGATGACTGTGCCGAAAGTTAGTGCTAGCCAGAAACAGGTTGTGGTCTGTGCACAGTTGCAGTAGACGGTCCCCGTTATCTGACCTGCGACCAACGAGTCCTCATCGGTCACCTAGACGACTCTCTCTGCCCGACCTGAGCATTCAAGTCTCCGGCTAGTACTACAATATCTGTCGAACGCACTTTCTGGAGAAGAACAGATAACTGGCGGTAAAACTCATCCTTGATTGCATCCGGGCTGCAATCTGTCGGGGCAAAGGTGCAGATGACACTGCCCGGGTGCCCAAACCGAAGCAGGTGGTTATCTTGGGGGGCCA